GGTGGTCTTGGGCCAGACACTCTCAGCCTGTCCGACCTCACAGGATCGGGTGTTGTGAAAATAAAATGGAGGAGAGGCACATGATGCAATCCCCTTTGGGGTCTCCACTAGGGAGAAAAGCAGATCAGAAATGAAGCCAGTAAATAAATAAGTGTATAAATAAATCCCCTCGTTGGCCTGCACTATCACCAGCTGGGTCTAAGCCAAGACTCTTTGCTGCAGAAGAGAAGAAGAAGAAGAGAAGATATTGGATTTATACCCCGCCCTTCACTACCCAAAGGTGTCTCAGAGCGGCTTACAAACTCCTTTCCCTTCCCCTCCCCACAACAGACACCCCGTGAGGTGGGTGGGGCTGAGAGAGCTCTGACACAAACTGCTCTTTTTCAAGGACAGCTGTGCCAGAGCTTGTGACTGACCCAAGGTCACATCAGCAGCTGCAAGTGGAGGAGTGGGGAATCAAACCCGGTTCTCCCAGATTAGAGTCCGCACACTTAACCACTACACCAAACTGCAGGTACCTGGAATCAGCCCTGACTGTACCCTGAGCCAGCAGGAGCCTTTAGGGCTGTGGGGCTGGCCGCATCCTCCTCTTCACAAAAGCCCCAAATAAGCAGCCCTCCAGCCCTGCCTGTGCAGCCGGCACCGTGAATTGTTCCGTGGACACCATGCGGCAAGCAGTCACTGGAGACCAGCCAGCGGCGTTATCAGAAGGACGTATCAGGTACCCAAGGAAGTTAAGGTCTTGCAGGTGCCGGGTGTGTCAGCTGCCAAAGGGACGAATGGCAGCGGGAGTTCAAATTCCAAACCGCACTGTGTCGGTAGGACAGGTTAACCCATTTCAAAAGGACAAGCGTCTTGGGAAGGAGACAAAACTGTCCCAGGAGGGTGTTGGACTGAAGCAGCGGAACGAAGTTTCGAGTCCAGTGGGGCACCTTTAAAACCAACCAAGTTTAATTCTGGGTATAAGCTTTCGTGTGCAGGCACACTTCCTTCAGAAGTATCTGGAGAAGTCTGTTACCCAAAATGGTCTAATATTTAATTCATTGGGGGAATTTAGCTAAGCGAGAGGGGGTAACTTGGGATCCGCACCTTTGCATAAGGGGATTCCTTCCCAGCGAACTCTCAAATGAACCCGGCTGATGTTTAACTAATAGCTTTATTGAAACCGATAGAAGAGCAAAGCACACCCACAAAAGACACAGTAAATCAAGCATAGAAGGTCTAGCCAGGAAATAAAGACTGTAGTGGGGAAATAGTGTTGAGGGTGGGTTATATTTACCTATACTGAAGCTTCAGATCCACAGAAGACAAGAGCGACCAACGCTCACTGTGAGTAGTTGACATCAGGAACTGAAGACATATCTGCAGGAAGTGTGCTTGCACCAGACAGCTTATACCTTGAATAAAACTTGGTTGGTCCTAAATGTGCCCAACTGGACTTGAACTTTGTTTTGTTACCCAAAGTTCCGGTTGGCCAACTTGACCACATCTGATTCGGCAAGTTGACTCCTCTGGGAAGAAAGCTCCCGTGGAGATGGAGGGTGTACAGGCCGCTTGAGTCGGAGAGCTCCCTTGATAACGACCAACAAAACTCTGCCTGGTTGTCTCTAGTTCCCTCCTTTGTAGGCGGGGTGGCCTGCCTCTTGGTGGGGGCCTGGAGATCTCATGGTAGAAGAAAAAGAAGAAGAGGAGGAAGAGGAAGAAGAGGAGGAGGAGGAGGAGATTGGATTTATACCCCGCCCTTTACTACCCAAGGGAGTCTCAGAGGGGTTGACAATCTCCTTCCCATCCCCACAACAGACACCCTGTGTGGTAGGTGGGGCTGAGAGAGCTCTGACAGAAACTGCTCTTTTTCAAGAACAGCTGTGCCAGAACTATGGCTTGCCCGAGGTCATCCAGAAGAAGAGATTGGATTTATACCCCGCCCTTCACTACCCAAAGGTGTCTCAGAGCAGCTTACGAACTCTTTTCCCTTCCCCTCCCCACAACAGACACCCTGTGAGGCAGGTGGGGCTGAGAGAGCTCTGACAGAAACTGCTCTTTTTCAAGAATAGCTGTGCCAGAACAATGGTTTGCCCAAGGTCATCCAGCCAGGTGCGAGTGGAGGAGTGGGGGAATCAAACTGGGTTCTCCCGGATTAGAGTTCGCGCACTTAACCACGACACCAAACTGGTACTTCAACTGATCTGGAGACGACAGAGATCCGTTCTCCTGGAGGAAACAGCCTCTCTGGTTTTGCCCCTGCTGAGTCCCCCCCCTCCCCCAAATCTCCAGGTATTTTCCAGCCCAGAGTTTGCAACCCTACAAGTTGCAGGACTCATGATGTCACAGTCTCTCCAGCCCTTTTCTGCTGTTTCTCCACCTCTCTAGTCCTTCCCCCTCAGCCTCCAAACTGTGGGTGCCCCCCCCCGTTGTTTCCGCACACCTTCCAGGCATGGGGTTTCGGCCTCTGCCAGGCCCCAACCATTAGGGTTACTTCCCCAACTCCAGCTGGGGAGGGATGAAGGGAGAGGCTGACCACATCCAGATGTTCGAGCATGGATCCAGATGCTCAAGCACATATTAGGATGGCACAGGACTATCTGTTTGGTGTAGTGGTTAAGTGCGCGGACTCTAATCTGGGAGAACTGGCTTTGATTCCCCAGTCCTCCACTTGCACCTGGCTGGATGACCTTGGGCAAGCCGTAGTTCTGATAAGAGCTTTCCTTGAAAAAGAGCGATTTCTGTCAGAGCTCTCTCAGCCCCACCTGCCTCACAGGGTGCCTGCTGTGGGGAGGGGAAGGGAAAGGAGTTTGTAAGCCGCTCTGAAAGACCTTTTGGTAGTGAAGGGCAGGGTATAAATCCAATCTCTTCTCTTCTTCTTCTGTTTCAGAGTGATTTGGGTGCGTCTGAAGCAATTAGAACATAGTTTGAGTCCGCTGGCACCTTTAAAAACAATGAAGTTTACTTCTGGGTATAAGTTTACCTGTACACATAAGTTTAGACCCAGAATTAAACTCTTTTGGTCTTCAAGGTGCCACTGGACTCAAACTCTGTTCCCTTTATAAAAGTGCTGTACTATAGCACCATTTCTTGATAACATTGCCCTGTTTCCTGTATTAACCCCCCCCCCCCAAATATTTATGGAAACCTGGGAGCTGTCCTCTCCTCAAAGCGGGGACCACCACAGAAGTAGGAGGTGGGGGGGGGGCGGTTGTTGATCTTAGCCATTTGACAGGTGACGCTGTCACTTGTCGGTCGAGGCTTTCCCTGGCTCGGTTCAGGCAAACAGCAACGCAGGACGGCAGAATGGCTGGCAGACAACCGTTCGAGGCTCTGCGCGGCCCCTTTGCCTGCACCCTCCCTGCAGACAGAAAGCTAGCGCGGCAGGGAGAAAAGTCCCACCTCTCTCTTTTTGAGAGAGTCTGCCTATTGAGGCAGACTCAGCATGGGTTCTGTAAGGGAAGATCTTGTCTCACTAACCTGTTAATGTTCTTTGAGGGGGTGAACAAACATGTGGACAAGGGGGATCCAATAGATATTGTTTACCTTGACTTCCAGAAAGCTTTTGATAAAGTTCCTCATCAAAGGCTCCTAAGCAAGCTCAAAAATCATGGGATAAAAGGACAAGTCCTTTTATGGATCAAAAACTGGCTAATTAATAGAAAACAGAGAGTGAGTATAAATGGGCAGTTCTCCCAGTGGAGGGGGGTAAGCAGTGGGGTACCACAGGGATCAGTACTTGGTCCACTGCTTTTTAACTTGTTCATTAATGATTTGGAGTTGGGAGTAAGCAGTGAAGTGGCTAAATCTGCGGATGATACGAAGTTGTTCAGGGTGGTGAAAACCAGTGAGGATTGTGAGGCACTCCAAAGGGATCTGTCAAAGATGGGCGAGTGGGCGTCAACATGGCAAATGGGGTTCAATGTGGCCAAGTGCAAGGTGATGCACATTGGAGCCAAAAATCCTAAATATAAATACACATTGATGGGGTCTGAACTGGCAGAGACAGATCAAGAGAGAGATCTTGGAGTTGTAGTAGATAACTCACTGAAAATGTCGAGACAGTGTGTGACTGCAATAAAGAAGGCCAATGCTATGCTGGGGATTATTAGGAAGGGTATTGAAAACAGATCAGCCAATATAATAATGCCCCTATATAAATCAATGGTGAGACCTCATTTGGAATACTGTGTGCAGTTCTGGGCACCACACCTTAAAAAGGATATTATAGCTTTGGAAAAAGTGCAGAAAAGGGCAACTCGAATGATAAAAGGGTTGGAACACTTTCCCTATGAGGAAAGGTTAAAGCGCTTAGGGCTCTTTAGCTTGGAGAAAAGACGACTGAGGGGTGACATGATCGAGGTTTATAAGATTATGCATGGGAAAGAGCAGGTAGAGAAAGAGGTACTTTTCTCCCTTTCTCACAATACAAGAACCCGTGGGCACTCCATGAAATTGCTGAGCGGTCGGGTTAGAACGGATAAAAGGAAGTACTTCTTCACCCAAAGAGTGATTAACACATGGAATTCACTGCCACAGGAAGTGGTGGGTGCTACAAGCATGGACGGCTTCAAAAGGGAATTAGATAAGCATATGGAGCAGAGGTCCATCAGTGGCTATTAGCCACAAGGTATAGCTAGGGGCTCTGGGGCAAGTGATGCTCTGTCTTCTTGGTGCTTGGGGGGGGGTCAACAGTGGGAGGGTTCTTTCCCTCCTGCCCTGTCGGGTTTGGACTTGCAGGGCGTTTTCAGCCGAGCGGAGCACCGTGGCGCACGCAGGGTCCCGCGCTTGCCTCGCCGTCGCTCTGCGGCTCCTCCGACCCTCTCAGGACGCCCCCGCCGCCGTGTGCACCAGTCCCGGCGTGGAGGAGCAGGACTCCCAAAGCCCTTGGCCGCCTGCCAGCGGCGCCTTCCCCGGCTCCTCTGAGAACGACGGGAGCCTCTCCCTCCCGACCCCCCCCTTCCCCGGCGGAGGGCCGACGAGAGGGCGGCGTGGGAGGGGCGTGGGGAAGGGGGGCGGCAGAGCCAGGCTGGGCCACCGCGCGCAATTGCGCTGCGCTTTGGAGAGGCGCCGCCGCCGCCCCCTGACCGGGCCCCGCGTCGCCTGCTCGGGGCTGCGTAAGGCCTCTCCCCGCCTCGTCGGGAAGCCGAGGCCGGGGACGACGGGCCGGCGAGGAAGAAGCGCCGCCCTCTCCTGAGCCCCCGAATCCGGCTCCCCCCCTTCCTCCCTCCCTCCTTCCCCGAGTTGGGTGCCAATGGCCGGCGCCTCGTCTGGAAGCCGCCTGCTGCGGCACGCGCGGAGGAGGCGGCGAAGGCGGCGGCAGTCCGGGAAAGCTGGCCGCCGGGAATAGGGGCTGCCTCGGGCTCGCCCTCTGCCGCAGCCACCCGCAGCTGCCTGCCTCGCCTCTCCTCCCCCCCTGGGCCCGGGCGATCCGCTCCGTGCGCGCTGCATGGCGCCGGCGCTTCCAGGAGGCCGGGGGTCCCAGGCCGCGGTCGGGGTTGCTGCTTGGAACCAAGCCCCCACGGGAATCCGAGGGTCTTTCCCCCAGGTCGACTCCTGGAGTCGTTGTTCCCGGGTAAGTGCGATTAAAACAGGCAAGGACGGGGTGGGAGGGCGAGGAAGGGACGAGCGCGGCCGAGCATGTGCAGAGTGGATCGGCGTGGTTTTCGGCACGGTTACGCATTTGGCACGCTGCAGCGACGCGCGTTCCTGTCCTTTTGGCGCATCGCACTTTTACTTTCATTCTTTCGACAGCTGCTGAGCGGCGCGATTGAGAAGCGCGGATCCCGTTAAGGAAACCGTCGCTGTGAGTTCTGTGTGTTTTGGGGGAAAGAATCCTTAAGCTGCAGCTGTCGGGGCTGCGGTGATCTCATTTGACCGGTCGGAGATCTTTTCTTTCATCTCTGCTTGGCCTTCTGAGGTGGGTGCCAGGGCCGGCTCACTCACTAGGCGAACTAGGCAGTCGCCTAGAGCGGGAGGGCCCTTAGGGGCGCCAAACTGGACCTGGCCCCTTACTCTGGGAGTTTCTTGATTATTTGTGTTTTTCATTCTTCCTAAAATGCATTTATTATTGAAAATTGGTGGGCGCAGGGGGGGGGGCGCTGCCACCAGAAGGGATCCTCGCCTAGGGTGCAAAATAAGCTGGGGCCGGTCCTGGTGGATGCACAGGGTGGATGGCAGTCCCCTCCGTAGGCAATGACCAGATCCTCAGCTTCATCTCCGTGGGTGGACACGGCCGGCCCCAGGGTTTTTTGCACCCTAGGCGAGGGTACCTTCTGGCGCCCCTCCCCGTGCATCCCCCAATTTTCAAACATAAATGCATTTTAGGAAGAATGAACAACACAACATCTGAAAGGTTGTAAGTTCGGTGGGGCTGAGAGAGCTCTTTCGAGGACTGCCCTTGAGAGAACAGCTCTGAGAGAACTTGTGACTGAACCAAGGCCACACCAGCAGCTGCATGTGGAGGAGGAGTGGGGGAATCCAACCCGGGTCACCCAGATTAGAGTCTGCACTCCTAACCACTGATTCCTGGGGGTGGGGAGCCCAGTGGCTCCTGCTCCTCCAAGAGGAGGACGGCTGCGCTTCTGAGCACACTGAAAGACCCGGCGGCGCGGAGCAATCACCCTGACCCACCTAGTCAAGAAAGTTGCAGGGCTTTTGGCGGGGGGGGGCTTTTGGTGGGGGGCCGGGTGCCAGTTTGGTGCCCCGGCTGGCGCGCTTTAGGCGAGCGCCTAGTTCACCTAGTGAGCGAGCCGGCCCTGTGGGTGGATTGTGTCCTCTCCAAACCTTTCCCGCGGCCAAATATTCAGAATTGTTAATAGAGCTCTTAACAGCCAGAGAGACTTCTGGTTATCCAAAACCCCGAAGGCCACAGTCTTAACTCTGGAATTAGGTACAGTTTGAAGGAGTTGGATGCCATCGGTGGATTTTAGCTTTGCTTTGTATTGTGAGCCAATCTTACCGACGGTACTGAAGCGCAGGACTTAGAATGGAACTAATTTACCATCACTTATGGCAAATGCTGGGTAAATACAAGCGAGAGGCGTTCAAAAGGCTGAACAGTTGGTTCCTTCCTGCTGTGGTAACTTGACGGAATCACTGGGTGTTAGTTCGTTTTAGTTTTTATCTTCAAGCGAGCCTGGGTTGATTGGAACCTGTTTGGGCTGATTTTAAAAAGCCATTTTCTGAGCAAAGAACTCACTGGCTGGGGTTGACCGAAGCATTGTTGTATGACTAAGTTTCTGTCTTCTACTATGAAAATACAGGCTGAGATAATGTGTTGTGTATAATTTATTCCGATTACCTGCAATCCTTCTCGTTGTCCGATGTGCTAAATTGAATTATATGTCTGGAAATATAATTTTAGCTAATTAATGTTGTTCTGCTTCTGTATTGTTTGTGGGCTGTAATAAAGATAAGAACCAAGTGGTTCATTCCTGGAAATCCAAAGGAAGCCCGGGTAGTTAACACATTTTATTGAGTGTGAAATAGCAAGAGAGGTTTTCAAAAAGGTCCTGACCTGGATAGGCCCCCCAGTCTCCTAAGATCTTGGAAGCTAAGCAGGGCTGGCCTTGGTTGGTGTTTGGATTGGAGACTACCCAGGAAGTTGAGGCAATCGCAAACCACTCCTGAATGCCTCTTGCCTTGAAAACAGTACACACACATAAACATATGGTGTATGTGTGCATGAGTTGTCTGTGATTGCGCTGATTATTGTGCCCGGTTGGAAAGCCAGGGAGCCACACTGCTGTCTTTGCTATCAGCTGACTGAGGTCACTGTCCGGTTAGGCTGACTATTGAGAGAGAGCTAGGTTTCCCTTGCTCGAAAGCCAGTCGAATCTGACTCTAGGGTTGCGGTGCTCATCTCCGTTTCCAAGCCGAAGAGCCAGCGCTGTCCAAAGATGTTTCCGTGGTCATGTGGCCGGCATGACTAGACGCTGAGGCGCGCAGAACGCTGTTACCTTCCCACCGAAGTGGTACCTATTTATCTACTTGCAATTTCTTGCTTTCGAACTGCTAGGTTGGCAGGAGCTGGGGCCAGAGATGGGAGCTCACTTCGTCATGCAGCACTCGGGCCTCAAACTGCTGAACTACCAACTTTCCAGCCTGCAGTTCAGCGTCTTAACCACTGAGCATGGACTCTAACCTGGGAGAACTGGGTTTGATTCCCCACTTCTCCACATGCAGCTGCTGGCGTGACCTTGGATCAGTCACAAGTTCTTTCAGAGCTGTTCTCTCAGGAGCAGTTCTCAAAAGAGCTCTCTCAGCCCCACCTGAGAGGTAGAAGGGAAAGGAGACTGTAAGTCGCTCTGAGACTCCTTCGGGTAGTGAAGGGTGGGGTATAAATGCAATCTCTTCTCTTCTTCTTCTGTTTAGGCAAGAGTGTCTTTGGCTATGTGGACTATCCGGCCATGCTGAAATCCAGGGGGTGTGTGTGTCAGTTGTTCACTGACAGTATCTGCTAGATCAGTTGATCGGCATCCCAGCAAGCTGTGGCAGATCTCCTGTGACTCGGGGAACAGTCTTAATCAGGCCTGCTCAAAAATAAGTCCAGTTTTATTCAATGGGCTTACTTCTGTGAAATTCTTCCTAAGACTGCAGGCTCCAGCCCTGTGTTTTTGGAATGGAGCTAGAGATGAGAGAGAGAGAGAGAATGAGAATGAGAATATTATTAGGCTTCCTTGGCATCCACTGGTCAATAGAGAGAAGAGATTGAGAAGAGATTGGATTTATACCCCGCCCTTCACTACCCAAAGGTGTCTCAGAGCGGCTGACAAACTCCTTTCCCTTCCCCTCCCCACAACAGACACCCTGTGAGGTAAAAGAAGAAGAAGAAGAGATTGGATTTATACCCCGCCCTTCACTACCCAAAGGTGTCTCAGAGCGGCTGACAAACTCCTTTCCCTTCCCCTCCCCACAACAGGCACCCTGTGAGGCAGGTGGGCTGAGAGAGCTCTTGACAAAAACTGCTCTTTTTTCAAGAACAGCTCTTGTCAGAACTATGGCTTGCCGAAGGTCCTCCAGCCAGGTGCAAGTGGAGGAGTGGGGCATCAAAGCCGGTTCCCCCAGATTAGAGTCCGCGCACTTCACCACGACACCAAACTGGCTCAACATGAAAGAGCAATGTGGTGGAAAAGTGCAGTCAAGTTGCCGCCAATTTACAGTGACTCCGCAGGGCTTTCGAGGCAAGGTACATCCAAAGGCGGTTTGCCATGGACTGCCCTGCATAGCAACCCCGGGCTTCCTTGGCGTTCTCCCGTCCAAGAACTAACCAGGGCCAATCCTGCTTAGCTTCTGCGATCTGATGAGATCCGGCCCGCCTGGGGCAGTCCTGGTAAGGGAAGAAGAAGAGTAGTAATGTGAGGAAAACAAAACTGGGCAAAGAAAGAGGGGTGAACTTTTGGATGGAGGCGGGTGCTTCTGATTTTGTAGCTGCAGGTTTCACTCCCTCCCCAAAGAGACTCAATAAAGGAATCTAAAAATCATGACCACTAAAGGAATCTAAAAATCAGGCCCTGTGGCCAGGCAGCCCAAGGCAGGATTAAAGCAAGCCGTTCCCATGACAACTGGAAGGGCAGAATCGAAAGGAAGGCATTCTTTCCCCTCGCGTCAGAAGCCCCAGTTTTAGATTGGGAAAACAATGTCAGGGGGCAGGGATGAGATCCCTGAAACTGAAGCCGCTGGCGTTTCAACGTGGGGAGCTGTTCCAGATTGTGATCCTGTGTCTGCCGTCTGAATTGGTGCAGCCGATTGGGCTAGAGCCAGTTTGGTGTAGTGGTTGGGAGTGTGGACTCTAATCTGGGAGGACCGGGTTTGATTCTCGACTCCTCCACGTGCAGCTGCTGGTGTGACCTTGGGTCAGTCACAAGTTCTCTCAGGGCAGTCCTCGAAAGAGCTCTCTCAGCCCCACCTCCCTCACAGGGTGTCTGTTGTGGGGAGGGGAAGGTAAGCCGCTCTGAGACTCCTTCGGGTACTGAGGTAAAAGGTAAAGGTTCCCTTGCTCGAAAGCCAGTCGAATCCGACTCTAGGGTTGCGGTGCTCATCTCCGTTTCCAAGCCGAAGAGCCAGCGCTGTCCGAAGACGTTTCCGTGGTCATGTGGCCGGCATGACTAAACACCAAGGCGCACGGAACTCTGTTCCCTTCCCACCGATGTGGTCTCTATTTATCTACTTGCAATTTCTTGCTTTCGAACTGCTAGGTTGGCAGGGTGGGGTATAAATCCAATCTCCTCCCCCCCGCATGTGTGAACCGGTTTTGAAATCGAGGCGGGCCTCGGCTATGTCTTCTGTTCCGGCGCCCAACTCTGACTCGGCTTGAGTGCATGCAGAGCTCCTTCCCCGTCAGTGACACACAATTGCCGTTTCCTAAGAAACCCGAAATGAGGAAGAAGAACGAAACACACAAAACCGCATTTCCTGCTAGGCTGGAAATTTAAACAAGGGCTCTGAGGTGTTGCGCCCACACGCTGTGTCCCTGGTGTTTTCCCCCTCCACAAGAAAACTTCCTCATACCTCTGAAACAACCCAGTTCCACCGAGACTCACTCTCTAATCCAGTTTTGACGTGGCCTAGACTCTCAGTTGTCTTTCATCGTTTAACACTGGCCAGGTTTATATTTTATTTTTGTGTGTGTGTCTTGTGTGTGTGTATCTATATGTGTACGTGTATGTTCTTACTGTATTTCCAGTGGCCTTCCCACACGTTAAAGGTAAAGGTAAAGGTTCCCTTGCTCGAAAGCCAGTCGAAACCGACTCTAGGGTTGCGGTGCGCATCTCCGTTTCAAAGCCGAAGAGCCAGCGCTGTCTG